CCACTTAATTCTGCATCTACCTCGCGGAAACCATACCTCCAAGTTCCAACCAAATGAAAGCCTACTACTTGAGATATTACCTAACAATACACAACACAAAGTAACACTATCAGACGTAATTCTAATGACCATGTATAATCTCGGATCTAAAACATCACGGCTATTTTCTTTAAATAACTACCCGACAAAAATAAAATAAAATTTCAAATTGGAAAACTAACAATTGTAAACTCAAGTCTTTGACTCGTTTTTGACCCATATGGTATCGGAATCATAATAAATGGAACAAAGTCACCTGGTATAATCCCGATGGGAGCAGTGTCCAATTGCAGACATCAAGACGCCGCTCACCAAACGCTGCGTTAACGCCGCGTATCTTACGCTGTCACTGGACGCCAATGTACTCCGGCTTGAATTGGGACCACGTCATGTCTTCATTTGCTGCTTCAGATAGCGATTCAGTTCGAAGTAGCTGCCTCAACGTTAGCCACGTTGTATCTTCACTACAGAGTAGCTAGCTATGTATAGCTAAGCACTTCCAATCTTGCAGCACTATCTTCTTCGTCGCATTTGCATGTAGGTAGTTCTTCACGAACCGGCTCCGATAATTTTAACATTTTCAATAATCCCGGTCCATCCCACTTCTGATGTAGGATCAGGGTCCGACATTATTTGAAAATAAAACAAAGAGCTTCACACAATCACTTAGTTTATTTCGATTAAATGAACTTACTTTCACATTAATTTTTAATTATAATAATTGAATAATTCAGCACTGATTATATAAAGGAAACACTCAAATAAAACCAACAATAAAATTACTCAGCGATTGCGTAACGTGTGAACTGGGCAACGATCGACGAACGACTGACTCGAGCTTGCGCTTGCGCTGCTTTATATATCACTCGGTGGTGGGGTTGAAGTGACGTCGGTCAGTTGTTTGTTCACTGCTCGCCCATTACATTCGCAGTTTACAAAATAATGACGGCGGCGCCGACACATACTTTAGTACTATTTGTAAGCGGCTTAACAAAAATGGCCGTTTAAAAGATGAAATCGTATTAGTTTATTTAGACCGTACTTGTTGTTATTTAAATAATTAAATAATTATTTATTATGTTGTTATTTAAATAATTTGTTGTTGGTAGTCGCATGAATTATTATATATTAATTTCAAATTAGTCAAACGATAAATTTATTATTTTTGACTGCAGATGTGTTTTTTTACATGCATAATTTCGTGTCAATTTATTCGAATCGTGTTAATAAAATGATTTTTTACGATGAAGATGTTATTTTTTGTTTGCACCATTAGAAGAATCATTCATTGTTCATACTCGAACTACTAATACTACTATTATTTTAGAACAATTTTAAATATTAGAAATGAGAGAAATGTAGTCAATAATACCTCTAATTTTATTCATATCCAGTTTTTAAGAGAAAATGTAGTGTCATGGAAATATACAAAAATTGTTGTGACCTATTAACAAAACGTGTTCGTATTTGGGCTAGTCTAGTTGCCTATTTCCATAAACCAGTTGACATTCACAGTAGGCTGTGTTCTATAGGCCGCGACTACTTACTGAATCGGTATATTATTGGTATGTCGGTCACGTGTCGCGAACTCGTAAACGTCCAAATTGTCATCCACCGTTGAGATAAAGTGTGACCATTATTTTAACTTGTATACCGTTGTCGATTTTACTTGACAAATGTTAACATTTTACTGTTTTTTGTTCAATCAATTTTGTCTGTATTCTACAACTTTTAGTATACATTAGCACTGAAATGAAATAGGTATGTACTTTCTTTATGTAAGTAGGAATCTACTATTAAACTGTCAAACACCACGAGGTCACCGTTGACCGCAACTTTTTGTTCTTTAATTGTGTCTATAATGACGGTACTCAACGAGTGAAAAGGTATATTTTTACAAGTACACATTAAAAATGCTAATTTAGTTAATAATAATTAGATATTTTTTTGAGCAATGGGCTATAAAATATAAGTAAAAAAAACGTTGTTTGTAACTTATAATTAGATTAATCGTGAATGATACCACACTTATACACACATATACGTTTGTATGTTTGCATGTATGTAGAAACGAGTTTATGCTGAAAACGAACTCTTTGTCGGAAGAACCATCAACTTTTGGAAACTGACAAGCTGATGACGATAATGAAAATAGACAAGGTCCGGTTTACATGAATAAAACGTCACAATGTACAGACTTAAAATATGTAAAACATTTCCATATGTGCATAAAATGCATAATTAATTACGTAAACCTATATTTATCCAATCAAAAATAGTCAACAAAAGCTTTACATAATGTAATTTTACGTCATTTATGTCTTATTTTAACTTCTTTTGTTGTTGTATCTATATTTTCATTATAAACTAGTTTCTACCTGCGACTTAGTTCCTTTTTCCCCGCTTTCATTTGATGATTCGACTTAGTACGCGCAATCCCGCTTTTTGAGTTTAGGAAAGTTCTAGATAAAATGTATCCTTATGTTCTAAGCTCCCTCCTCACCAATTTTCAGCCAAATCGATTAAGCCGTTCTCGAGCTATAAATAATGTAACTGACACGAATTTCTTTGACGTATACAAATAGATAGGTTTTGATTGTTTTCGTTTGTTTGATGCGGTTTTAAGATTAGATTAATGAAATGACTAGGACGCTAGTAAATGGTTGTAAGTATTTTTTTAAGAACATTGACCCCGAAGCCTGCTTGAGAAAGGGGTATAATTCTCATATTTGTTGTGAGAGTTGGTCTTGTGGCTATTGCTAAGCATTACTATTAATTCCGTAGATTCCAGTAGGTCTTTTTATAAAAAATCTAGTCCTGATATTTGTGTAGAATAAGGTTTTAATAACAAGTTTCTCAAAAAACTTAATAAAAGAAGTTATCTTTTATAGAGTTTTAAAAAGATAGTAAAAAATAGTACTTAAATAACATTGATGCAATTTTAACACATGCATTTACATACAGACATATTTATTAACACGTATTACTCATAGGCAGAGGTGCATATTATGCCACTGTACAATGTAACACTCACTTTTCACTATTTATGTTAAGAGTCCCATGTAATAGGGGGTGAGCCTATTGCCATACACCGGGCACAATTCCAGACTCCGTGCTACTACTGAGAATTTTTAAAAACCCAGTAATACTTTGCCCTACCCGAGAATCGAACCCGAGTCCCGAGACCCGAGCATTTGCGACCACTCGGCCAATAAGGCAGTCAGTTAACTAATATACTTAATAACTAACTAAAAAAAATAACTAATATCTATAATAAAATGACTGCCTCGTTAGCCGAGTGGTCGCAAGTGCGACAAGGCTTGGGGTCTCGGGTTCGATTCAAGGGTCGGGCAAAGTTTACTGGGTTTTAAAAAAAATCTCAGTAGTAGCACGGAGTCTGGAAATGTGCCCGGTATATGGCAATAGGCTCACCCCCTATTACATGGGACTTATAACATAAATAGTGAAAAGTGGGTGTTACTTCTGTGTGCACCTCTGCCTACCCCTTCGGGGATAAAAGGCGTGATGTTATGTTATGTTAACTAATATACAATTTTATTAATATCAATATTCAAAAACGTAGCAAAGGCACGGCTTAAATAAATCTAACATTGCCAAAGTTCAAACAGAAAATTACTTGAATATAGAATACTAAAAACAATTAACTTATATGTTCATTAATAGCTTTAATTAAGTGTGTACTTAACAGCTAACACGGTAATTTTCAGTAATTGAAATTCAGTTGGTTAAGTTCAGTCCGTGTGGGAAATGTTCCCAGTTGTATCAAAGGGTGTTTAATACTTGAAACAAGCTAATTAACTGGCAACATTAGCATTTTCAGAACATTGTTCATTCATGAAATTAGACTAATCTGAAGTTACAACCTTTTACTAAAGACTTTAAGATTGTTAAAAGCTTGTCAGGTGAAAATTGGATGCCATAATAATAAAAGCGATTTAAGAAAAAAAATGTAAATTGCAAAACATGCATAAGTAAGTACCTACGTTACATTCAAAAATATTGCAAAGTAATTTGATACACACCTCAAGAATACAACACAATTTACATTTTGTTTCTTATTACTAGTGTCTATTAAAACTTATGAAATCCTTGGACAAATCAATATTCCGTCTATAAACGACATCTATTAACATTTGAAAGAAAAAAATACTTTGACATATCAACAAAAAATATTCAATAAAATAAATGTTTACTGTTTTCAAATAAATATTCATTAAACTTCGGAAAATTATCAATGGTCAAGCATTAAAAAATATTGAATATTTTTATTTGGAATGTGAAATAAAAAAAAACTTACCAAGAAATAGAAGAGTGTTCCCGGCCCCATGGCACGGGATACGGCCTTGTAGGCCTGGTTATGACCTTGAGACGCAGGCTTCCCCTCACAACCTTAATCCCGACAACACAAAGCAATTCCTACCCGGCGCCAATTAACTTAATATTTTGCTAAAATTCGCTAACATGACCCGCTCTCCGACGGCCGGCTTTTAAAACTAAAATGTGCAAACTCGAAGATGCGCCTCTTATATTACCTCTTACGTTAACGTCGGATACCGCAACGTATTTGGCATATAGGTGTAGCTTTGTAAACATGTGTGGGTGTATTTCGGCGATGAAGCCTCTGATTGTTCATTAGTGTGCGTGCTTTTGGTGACACGCTTGATAAGAACGCGCGTGTGTGCGCTAGGGAATGTGTCCTTTTACCATAATTTAAACTAAGTAGTAACGTAAATCTCTGATCATCCTAATTAATTTATTATTAATCCCTTTTGTAACTTTCTATCGCGAGGATTTATTGCATAGATTAAATACATTTTTGGTAGTATTAAGGTCTGTTTTACTTTGATGGTCTTCAAGGGGCTTGGAACTATGGTTGTTTCGTAGTCAGTTAAATCAGATGTTTAAGATTCTGGTAGCGTAGTTACGTATTATTTGAGACGTTAACATATAAAAACTTAGCATTTGTTATTCGTGTTATGGCATAGAAAGATGTAAATTAAGTTTATACCTCTAGAATATCATCAGGTGATGAAGGTCCCATTCATTTGTACGGTTTGTATTGAGTATATGGTAACTGACAAAATGATTTCCCATGAGTAATATTTTACTTAGACTTTACTTGTCAAAGGTACATATAATATTTCCGAGAAAGGTTTTTAGATAGGCTTTCAGTCAAGTAATGGTATTGATGATAAATACCTTATTGTACCAAATGTTGGGAAATGTACAATATTTTCGTACTAACGATATTGTTTTCCTTGGTGCGACCAAGGAAAAGAAAAGCTTGACAGCCGCATAAATATTTTTATTTACTAGTTTGTGACGTTCCACAAGAAATGTTATTTTTGGGAATGTTGTAAATAAATTCGTAGCGAAATTTTGTTTATCTGGCATCGTTATAATGAATCGGTCTATTGAACTTGGACCAGAGACCGGCGCACATAACCATCGTGCCGCCCGCCGGCGCGGACGCATAAATTAATACATAGGTACTTTTGACAACCGTTTATCTACCTCCACCAGTAACATATACATTTAGAACATACTATGACATTTTAATAATATCCTTTTGGCAATCATCAGATGATTATCAAAAAATAATTGCACCTTCGTCAATTAAGACATAAAAACTATGCAGAATCATCCGGTAGTTTGTAGCCAAATCGAAATATTATCAGATATTTTTATTTAGTATCCCATAAAATGTTATTTTATCATAACAAGTTCTGAATTTCCGGTTAACCTCAGGTACATGTATTCACTCGAGTTAAAATATTACGTGAGGTTTTATATCACACTCAGGCGACATTAACTTGTGGTTAACATTTGACTTTGCCCGAATTTCTAAGAAACTTTGAAAATAAATGACACAATTTCTAACCAACTTAGGTGCTTCACTTGTATGAGGGTTTTTCTTTTCCCTGTTTATCTCTTGTTCGTGATAGTAGCCATTTGTATACACGTGGGATACAATTAATTTAAATGTAGAATAGAATGCAATTTTTAGCTTAGGAATATTTCTTCTTTGTTGAACTGTTCGAGATTTAAATATGAAAATATGTTTAAAGTTTCTGAATGGAAAAGTTAACGTATTAAAAAGTTCTTAGGAAATGTACAAAACTATGGCGATAGGTACTATTTTCATAATTGGATCATTTTTATCTGTACTTTTCTTGGTGGTTTTTCAAGTAGTCTAGAAGAGGAATTTATTAGGCTACTATTTTTGTATGGCGAATCACACGAGCAGAGAATACCTGACTTTTTTTGCTCAAGTTTGATTTTTTTTGTATCTGGAAGTTATTTATTGTTGCCCAAAGAATATTTCTTTTGGTCGTAAGTGCGATATTTATTTAAGGTATCATATTCAAATCCCGAACAAACCAAACTATCATAAGATTTTTCGATTTCGAAAGTCTCAGTAAAAACTAAGCATCCAAAGTTTTATTAAGACACGGTTCCAGGAGTTATATCTTCCTGAAACTTAGTTAAGAGTATGTAAAGTCACAGATAAGTAGGTGAAACACGTGACTAAATCGTATTATTTATAAATTATAATAATAAAAGATTTGTGATATATAAAATTCCATTGCTGAGTCAAAGAAATTCCTTATTGGTCACGTAATATAAGTGGTCATCTTATTATTATTGTATACATTTTGATTCAGGTTTGTTGATTGAAAACTTCTGCAAGAGTTAATTGCAGACTGGTTTTATTTGATATCAATTGGTACCAATTCCCTGGAACTGAGTCGGCCCCGACATCTTGGTTCAAGGATGGTCAATTTAAGGGATACATAAATTAAATTGGGACGGAATTTTAAAACATTGATTTAATGTCTCACACATTTCAGTAACATAATTTAACTTTAATTTTTTTCAACTTAAACTGTGGGAGAGGCACGCTTCGACACGAATGGACTGGCTCGACGGGAGCGATACCACGGCCTCACAGAAAATCGACGTGAAGCAACGCTTGCGTTGTGTTTCATCGTATGAATGAGGTTAGTGGAGGCCCAATTACCCCCTCCCCTTCCCAATTTCCCTAATCCCTGAATCCCCAACAACCCTTAAACTCCTAATCCCCAAAAAGCCGGTAACGCACATGTAACGCCTGTGGTGTTCCAGGTGTTCATGGACGGCGCCGATTGCATAGCATCATACGTGATCCGTCTGCTCGTTTGCCGGCTTATCCCATAAAATAACTTCTTTTTTATTAAATAGGATTTTGTTTAGATTGTTTTTCAGTGCTTTAGATTTCCAAAAGCAAAGGTTAAGCTGTGAGATGTGTCAATCAAAATGTTTAATGGGATCTACATTTTCATGATTTTCACTAATATCTGTAGAGATTGCAACAGTGATTTGTATTAAGTAAAAACGCGGGTTACTCACGTGAATATACTGAGAAAAGCTCTACTAGTTTCGAACCACAGAGGGGTTCTTCCTCATGAGCAGCGTGCGCGGTCGCGGCGACGTCGCGCAGCTCACTGGCTGGCGTTGGCGCTCGCCTCGGTGTTGCCTAGTAGTTGCTTGGTAGTATTCCCCTCTCCACAGGAAGTAACCTGTGGTGAGACAATGATTAACCTCACCACAGGTTACTTCCTGTGGAGAGGGGAATACTACCTGCAGGTGAACGGAGTGGCTATGGGGTCGCCACTGGCGCCGGTGGTGGCTAACATCTACATGGAGTGGTTTGAGGGTCAGGCCTTGGCATCCGCCCCGGTACGACCGCGACATTGGTGGAGGTATGTTGATGACGTGTTCGCGATCGTCAACCGGGAACATGTGGCTGAATTTGTGGGACACTTGAACTCAGTGCACGGCA